AAAAATAAGAAAATGTAAACATGTTTCACTGCTTTGCGCCTTCTTCAAACACTGCTTTGCGAAACTACAGCTTAATAAATCGTTGAAAAGATACCCACCTTAATGTGAATCTTATCAGCTGGTAAAGAACGTGCAACTGTGGATGGATTTTGTGAGTTTCCGCGCATTCTCATTAATGGTTGAGCAGTAGGTGCAATGAACTTGTTTGGGGTATTCGCAAAATTGCATGATAAAGTAATAATTGTTTTTTTAAGAATTACTATAAATAAATATCTTTGTGTGTTTTAATACATATAACAACACAAACCTGTTTGCCGAATACAGATAAAGTAGACGTTTATGATCAGCTTACTCATTAAACGTGGTTTGCTATGCAAATAAAGGCGGTCTGGTTTCTTAAGAGGTATGTATGTACATTAGGGTGGTCCTTAAAAAATCAAATGAACGATTTTTATCAGTCTCACCCCCTCAATCGGTAATACGACGATCACATATATCACATATAAATTTTGGTTTCGATTGGAGACAGTTAAGGCGTGTCTCACAGGGGACACAGTTTAGATTCCTCTATAGGGACTAAAAAATTAAAATTAATTTTTTTTTGCATCTAATACCCAAAATCGAGACTATCATACTCGAAGATATCTCATATAAATTTTGGTCCCGATTGGAGTTGTTTAAGATGTGTTGCAAAGGGGTCAAAGGCCAGAAGCCTCTATGGAGACTCAAAAAATTGAAAATATTTTTTTCATTTAATACCCAAAATCGATACTACTAAAGTCGAAGATATCACATATAAATTTTGGTCCTGACTGCAGTCGGTTAGGACGTTTTTATTGGGTAGTCTGAAGTTTGACCCCTGTGCGATACGGCTTAACCGACTCCAAACAGCGTCAAAACTTATATATGATATCTTCGACTATAGTAGCATCGACGTAGGGGTTGAGGCTTACAAAGTCTGATGTAAAAATTTACATCCTACAATTAAGGACCACCCTAATGTGCATATCCCTTTTCTTCTCATTGGTTCATAGACACTGATACGATGTATTGTATGTATGTACATTATACCAGGGGTGCTCAAAAAATGTAACGTACTGAACCAAACGATAGCAACTTCAATATGAGTTACCACAGTTGTCGAAGTGTATTTAACTCATTCATGTTAAATATCTGCGCTTATTCATGTTTACTTTTTTTTTAGAACCTGTTGGCAGATACAACCTACGAGGAGGAGTGGGCAAGCGCAAAGGAATATAACGAAATACCTGGACCAACAAGTATTGGATTAATGATGGACTTTTTACCAGGCGGTACGATAATAGTCAAAAGCAAATTATAAAGTAATTACGAACATTTTAATTGTGTGTTTTTTTTTTTAGGAGAACTTTATGGCGCAAATTTTTTGAAATTGTTTGGAACAATGCGCAAACGCTATGGTGACCTGTTTGTGTTTCGCGGCTCTTTCGGTCGCGAAGATTTAGTATGCACTTATAATGTAATTGATTTCGAAAAAGTATATAGAACTGAAGGAGTTTGGCCTGTACGGGATGGTGTAGGAAGCTTTAAACACTATCGGAAGGTAGAGAATCCAAAAGCATATGGTGGCATATTGGGATTGGTGGCAGAGTGAGTAGTATTGAACTAAAATGCAAAGTAGTCGGTCGAATAAGGATAACATTTTGATGCTGCAAACTTTATCACCACTAATGTATGTAGGCAAGGTGAAGGTTGGTTCAATATACGCCAGAAGGTAAATCCAATCTTGATGAAGGTACAAAATATGCGTGAAGCATTGCCGGAAATCGATCGTATTGCAATGGAGTTGGTGGAAAAGTATGTTATGTGTTCTATTTACGGGGCAATTCTGGCTAAGATAGTTGCAAGTCTTTTGTAAGATATTTATCACCGGCACACAAAAAATAAACATGTATTACGGCCCGCTGAATCCGAATCTGTAGTCCGTTTGACTGGCACACCCTCAAACTTTCGAGAAAATTGCAAAAAA